TTCCTGCTAAGAAGCAGGCTACCTAACAGCACTATTCACTTTCCTAGCTTCAAAGGCCAAGCCAAGTACCACCTCAAATCAGGAACACATTAAAGAAGATTAAATAAAGCAATTCAGTTATTGCAGTCCCCCCCCCGAAAGCCAGAGGAATATACTCACGTGTCTTGAACAAAGGCACGAATTTTAGCTAGTGCCTTTATCTGAACTTTGCAGTGGCTGAAAGAGAGGACAAGTTTCTGTCAGGGGGCAAGTTCACCACCACCAAGATTGTTCTACTGTTCAAAACATGGAAGAGTGCTGGGACAACAAGAGGAAGCTAGTCTGATCCTCAGAGCAGTGATAGATCATTGCCAACATGATTCAAAGTGACAGGAAGACCACTGGAAAGACTAGGTAGGCAGTAGCCTCCTTTCTTTGCTACACAGTACTTGGACGTGAAACAGTCACTAACAGTATACAGCACTTCTTTCTTCACAGGGTCCCTCTGCTCTGCTAAGCCTCTCAGAGAGCAAAAGCAGAGCAGTGTAGCAGCATCAAGTAGTATGTCCGTGAGTGCAAGAAGCTACAACTGAAAGCCATGTTGGTTAACCTGCCTACAGCCAGCAGCCCTCATTGCCCATGGGCACTCACTTTTCATTGGACTGGACAATGTAATCATAGAAATCCTGGTCGCCTTTGATCACATTCAATGGGACAACAAGATTCACATCCACATCAGAATTGCGCAGTTGGTTGAGTCTGATGTTCACCATGAAGAGATAGTCTCGCACGTCATCAATCCCAAGCTTTAATCCTTTGCATATCACGTACCTGCAGAGCAAGGCAGACAGATCATGTGGGTTCAGTTCTTCCACACAGCCAACTTTCCTGCCACGCTCCCATATATCAAGACAGTTTCTCAAATCCCAGGAATTCTTTCCTCCTGGATATCCATAGGAAGGTGCAATCTCACCTATCAAAGTCACTATACATTTTCTATGCTGGGAAACTCAACTCTATTGAAAAACCCCACAGATTTCCCTCAAGTAAGCAGATCAATTCTGCTAAACTTGACAGGTATAATGATAACATACATAATTTGCTCTAGCTTCATTGGAACCGCAGTTGTTTCAGGCCAAACAGAATTTGTTTCATGCTCAGTTCCACTGCTTTCTCTGCAGAAGGGTAATTTGGCAAATACCTTCTTTACCTTGTCAAACATCATAATTTGCTAAGCATCTGCAATGTTTCCTCCTCCAATACAGTTGCCAATTGAGGCACGTAACTGAGCTTCCACTAGACTTACCCAAGTCCATCAATAACTGCATTTAGAGGACAGGGTTTCTTTAGTAGTCCCTCATGCTCAAGAATCTCACCTCTCCGAGTTAGCAGGGCGGCTTGTCACAGGTTTAAAGATGCACACTCGCTCAAAACAGCAATACAGCAGATAAACAAGTCCCACACTGAATGGAGTAAACAGGTCAAAGGTTTTGCAGACAAAATGTCCTCCTGGAAAAGAGAGGAAGCACACTGATACCAGCAGATTATAAGGAAACAAGGAGATATCAGACACCTCAATAACTTTCTCTTCTGCAGAACTGGCAAGAGTGGTTTTGTACAATTAAACAGCACCTAAAACACACTCATGATGTGGGCCAACAGGGCTCCATGAACCATCTTCCCCATATCTCTGCAGCAAAGAGAAAAGCATTTCCCTGACCAGGATCAAATCAGTATGCGTGCTGTCTCACAAGCAAACCTTCTATTCACACATCCTCGCCTTCCAGGCCCAAATTGTGCCCTATGGCATGGCGGCATGCTATGCAAAAGCCTTAAGAGAAGAGATGCTCTGATACATGCAAAAAGAAACCTCAGGCTGGAGAGGAAAACTGACAGATGTTACCTAAATAGAGTAACTTGCCAACTAGAAAGAAAAGTCTATGTCGCCCCTTGCCTTCAAACATGATTTCCAATTTCCCCACGCAAAAAGCAGTCGGTCTTACAGAGCTATTATCTACCCAGGCAAGAAAGATTTAAAGAAGGTTGCTCCTTTTACCATATCACATTTTAGATTACTGCTAAGAAGACCACTGCGTCAGGTACTTCTAAACATAGGGCACAAGATAAATGATCACATAACAAGCAGTTTTATCTGCTGCCTCAGTGCCAAATGCTAACTAAACTCAGCAGAAGAGAGGAGCCATCAAAAACAAATAGAGCTGTAACGTCCATCATTTGGCAACCATGAGGTACAGCTAAGAATGTGAGACATCATCTTGTACTGATCACAGAGATGGCAGATTTAAAGGAGAAAAGCCACAAGTTAGAGACAGGATGAACTGGATAAACACCACTCCGTTCTAACCAGTCTGCTAGAATATTCAGGAAGCAGTTTGTCCAGCTAGTGCCATAAAACTCAGATATACTGTCCAGTAATCACACTAGTGACCTTAGCCCAAGACAGCTACATAACATAACACATTGTAAGAGCTTTAGACTAATGCATTTTACCTCATGCTTTTAATTAAAAGCAAAACAGACATAGATAATCTTATTTTTCTGCCCCAGTTCTCTTAGCTTTGTGAGAACCATCTCAGGATGTATGTGTACACAATTCTTTGCAACTTTGCCTCAATGCAGAGTAGACTTCATGGCATGTTAATAAAAATCGTACAGCATCCTTCTGCAATGCCAGCCACACCTTAGAGAAGGACGAAGAAGATTAATGGATAAAACATACCTGTCCGGACAATGGACAGCGCTGTAAGAAACTGGCAAAGCATGAGCTGTTTGCTCAGGATTTCTTGCAGATTCTCCTGACCCTCCACTGAGAAACCCTGCAAAGCACATACCATATGATTAGTATCTCCACAAATCTGTTGGTCAAGCAAAGGATTCTGTATAGTTAAATCATGGAATCATGATAATTTCTGTTTCTTTAAGATAAAAAACACTGCCACCAGGAAGTTTAATGGCAAGCCTTGAAGAATTTCACATTGTAACTATCGGCACATGTCAAATATCCTACTAAACGCAGTCTGAGGTATCAGGTTTGGTCATTAGTGCACAAAGAAAAAGAAATGGACCAACCCCATCAGCCATTAAGAAATGCACTCCCTTGTGATCAGTATTGTCCAAAACAAAATTCCGGAAAGCAGTAATGTTCTCTGGGCGAGTGATGTCTCCATCTCCATCAATACCTCCCTCTCCTAAGGGGAAAAGAAGAGACAGTTACTAACATGTTTGCGAGTACAGATAAAAGATCGGTATGTGTAGGTGATCTATTGTATTCAATGAACATTTAGTCAGAAACACAGACAACTACTTGATAGGCAAATAAGCATTAACACATTCCCTTGCTCACCACCAAAGATGCTTGTTAATTTAGGAAAATTATTCAGATTGTGCAGTAAGGGCTAAACAAAGCCATATAATAACCATGCTCAAATGATGAGTTGTACATTAGCCTCAGCAAAAGACAAATCATTCACTGCCCTTCTCTGAGACGAGAACTGACTGCATGACAACATAATATTCTCATCCAAGCAGGAATGACACACAGCTGAACCTACTAAAAATGTGAGGTTCAATCTCACTGCATAGCTCACTTGTTAATAACATGTTTTTACAGACAACGCAAAATTATTTACATTGTGCATTAGCCACCTTCTACTAAGAATTCAAGTAATTCCAAAGAAACACAATGCTCTATTTTCAAACACAATGTAATCTGGAATTTAAAAAAGCAACCCCAAGAAAACGCTGCAAACAAGTTTATTAGGGAAAGGGAAATGGGGTTTGTGCATGAATGTTGGTACAGTTTTCCCATATGGCTCTTTAAAAAAGAGAGGCACATTGTCCCCTAGGTTGGTGTTTTAGAAAACTAATCTTAGGTGTATTCTAGAAGAACACTTACTGCACAATTCTGACTTTGAAGAAGTCTGAACTTCTATTTGGTATTAGTCCCTATAAATCTTCTACAAATACAGCTTCTATTAACTGAACTGGAAGACTAGAAAGCAGCAAAGATCAGGATACATGATAGTGCTTTGACAACTAAATGCCTCTTCAATCATCCTGTCAGTATGTGAAGTGGCACTAGAATTTGTTACCATTCTTCACAATACAAACATCACAGCAGTATACCTTCTTCCCATCACTGGAAGAGAGTTTGTACACATCTCACTAGACTTTATAGAATAACAGACAGAATGGGATCAAGAAAATGCATCAAAGTCATTCAGCTATTCATTTCTTCAGAAGAACACCAGTTTGCAGTGAGTTATGAAGATCCAAATGCTGCAACCGTTGGAACAATGTGTTTATCTGCCACGCTGCCCTTGCCATGAACCTTCTCTTTAAGAGATCTACTCCTGAAGTGCTAACCATCCTCTAAGAGTTCATGGTCAGGTGTCAAAAGTGGCAGTCAACAAGAGTTAGAGTGGTGAAGAGGGGGAAAAAAAAAAAGAACAAAAAAAGCACAACAACAGAAAAGCAAACCCTCTTCTTTACAAGAGTCAGACTGGAGTTTCCTTTATACAGTCTGAAATAAGAAGCAGGAATACTAGCAATCCCTTCCTATTCCTAGAGGCTATGCAGATAGAGGGTTCAAAAATATCAGCAAGCTTAACTAGTGAACATCCATGAGGTGAGATGCAGCAATTGTCTGTGTATACCTGCTTAGTCTGTCTCAAAGCAAGGTAAAACATCTTAGCTTAAATCTCTTTGGATTAAGAAGCTCATTTAGTCACAGTGATTCAGATACAGCCTCTAGCCCAAATCTTTTTATTTATCTTTACTAAGAGCCCACAATCAATTATCAAAGCACAGCTAGAGAGGTCTGACATAGAAGCACATTGCCAGTCAGGCAAGTAAGGTTTCTATCTCTGGCTCTGCTAACAGATCTTTGGGCAAGTCAGGGGGCTGGAACACCTTCCCTATAAAGACAGACTGACAGAGCTGAGGTTGTTTAGTCTAGAGAAGAGAAAGCTCCAGGGAGACCTTCTAGCAGCCTTCCAGTACCTAAGGGGGCCTACAAGAATGCTGGAGGGGGACTTTTTACAAGGGTGTGTAGTGATAGAACAAGGGGTGATGGTTTTAAACTGAAAGAGAGGAAGATTTCGATTAGATACTAGGAATAAATTCCTTACTGTGAGGGTGGTGAAGCACTGGAACAGGTTGCCCAGAAAAGTTGTGGGTGACCCATCCCTGGAAGCATTCAAGGACAGGTTGGATGGAGCTTTGAGAAACCTGATCTAGGGGAAGGTGTCCCTACCCATGGCAGGGGGGTTGGAACTAGACAATCTTTAAGGTTTATTTCAAGCCAAACCATTCTATGATAAGCCATCTCACTCACTGTGTTTCAGGCTGACATCAGTGAAGTGGGAAAAATATTGTCAAGCAACCCTAAAGCACTCTACAGTTTTCAGATAAGCGAAGCACTCAAGTATCAACTATTACAATGGACACACGTTCCCAGGGCGGACTGGAAGTAAGTGCAGAAATGTGACTTTATATGTAAGCTCACCAATCTCAATCCATTTCTCAGATTACAGCCCTCTTCTACCTTGCAAAATGGTTCCCTATAAACAGGCTTCTCTCAGATCCCCATGCTGGTATGAACACCAGCTCCGCTCCCATGGCAAAGGCTGCAGCATAAGCAAAAATATCAGATAACACTCACACATGCACTACATACCATAATAAGGTTCAAAGAGCTCACTGGAAGCGGAATAGAAGTCCTCTAGTTTAAAATCATTTGGTCCTTTCAAGGTCATGCCAAATCCTTTCGCATGCCACTTCCGCCTCCATAAGACATACTCAGAGAAGCCTCCAGGACCAGCACACACATCAGCGAAGTAGAGCAGCTCTGCATCTCGCTCCTTTATCAAGGGCCTCTGCAAAAGGAAACTGAGGAAATTCTACTGACCCAGTAACAGCTCCCATCAGTCAAACCAGATACACCATAAACTGCACTACTCAGTCAGAAGTCTCTTTCAAGCACTTGTTTTCCCAGCTAGCATTCTAAGGATTCTCCTTCCTCCCCACCTTCTCCATTGTCTGAGAAAGCACTGCTGTTTAAATAGAGGCCCTCACCCCATGGAAGTCCTTAGGGTTTGTAAACATGTAGTCAAAGACATGGTCCATATTTGCCATCTTCATTGCAGCCCTGTGAACACATAAATAGGGACCTATTAAGTTTCAACCTTGGCTCCCAAGTCTGAAAGTGGACATAAATGGGAAAGGGGCTACACTACCAGAAGTTCTGCAAACCTGTTCAGGAAAAAAACTCCACGGATCATCTCATAGGGGTTGGACCTTGTTCGGGCTCGACGCATTTCTTCTCCATCCAGCTCATCAAATACACTCTGCACAAACAGAAACAAAATTGAGATGGACCAGGCACAGGCTTGAGGGATAGGTAGGCATGAGCATTTCCTATCCTCATGCTTCTCTCTCCTTAAGACAGCCAATTCCATGTAGGGTTTGGTTCACCAATACAGAAAGTTTTTATGTCACACAATGATATTCACTCTTCTTCTAAGCCACTTCAGTTCTTAAGCAAATTTAGTGACACTGAAGAATTCTGTACCAATAGCTCCAGAGCCTGATATTGTGGTTAGCCACCTTAAAAGCAGTCCCAGCCTAAGGTATTTCTCTTATCTTACACATACACACACTCACACCCTACTGCAATGTACAAGCACATGATAAAATCTAGGAGGCACAAGAAAAGAAAAAGGAACTTATTTCCTTAGCTCATTCAAGTCTTTCAGTCTTTCAGAGAGATTGTTTTCATTCAACTCTTTGAAGGCTGAAGTGCAAAACAGGTTACTGAGACAGTAACAACCAGGATGCTAGGTCATATCAGTGGCATGGAGGTGAAAGGGGACATTCTGAGCTCTTGTCAATCACGTTAATAAACTACTTAATCCTCTTCAATTATTTATTTCACTTGCTTCCCCAAAACTTCAGTTCCTCTTTAAAGAAGGAGACTCACCTTGCACTGCAGGACATTACGTAAAAGCTCTTCACTACAGAACTCTGTTTCATCTTCAATCACCATCTTCCTCTGGAGCAGGACAAGAACACAGATAACAATGAGCAAACATGGTATCAGCGATTTCAGAATGTAACGTGCCCCAGTAATGGAAGAAGGCTGCCAACCACATACTAGCTGTATCAGCAAAAAGCATAACCAGCAGGCTGAGGAATTATTCTGCCCTGTTAGGCGTCTTGAGATCACAAGTGGAATACTGCATCCAGTTTGGCATTCCCCAGCACAAGACATACTGGAGTCAGCCCAGCAAAAGGGCCACCGAGATGACAAGAGTGCAGAAGCATCTGGTGTATGAGGAAAGACTGAAAGAACCATTTGTCCAGAATAGAGAAAGGGAGATTCTATTGCTGTCTACAAGTACCTAATGGCAGGAAATAGAGAAGATTGATCTAGACTCTTAGAGGTGGAGAGCGACAGGACAAGAAACAACGGACACAAGCTGAAACACAAAAATGCCAATGAGCCATATGGAAATTTTCTTTTGACAACTGGGTTATAAAACACTGAAACAGGTGCCTGAGCAGGTTGTGACATCTCCATCCTTGGAGATACTCAAAATTCAATCAAACAAGGCCTTGAGCAACCTGATCTAGTTAGATCTGCCTTAAGCAGAAAGCTGCACTAGCAATCTCCAGAGGTTCCCTCCAGCCTCGGTTATTCTGTAACTCTTTGACCAGGCAATTGTTTCAGGCCGAGTATTCCTGCATCATTTTAGGCTGGTAAGTGCTGAGATCTAAAAAATTACCTTCCCCACAGTCATCCACTCCTTCAGCTCCTGGGCATCAGGGATTTCCGTGGTACACTCAAGGCACCAATCCACTTCCTCGTAGGCACTGGGCTGCAAACATAAGACATAGGAAGAGCCAAAGATGTTTTTACTAGCAAAATATAACAAGTAATTGCTCCCCAAAAGTTTGCCTCCCAACCCTAGCATAAGGGGTTATGCAATGACTTTAGGGCCAACCACAGAGTTTTTTTTCTCCTAGTCTAACACGTCTTATTTGTTTGGATTTGAAATTTTTAAAAAAGGAAAAAAGAAAAGCGAAAACAAAACAAAAAACAACTCCAACACAAAAAAACCCACACCACTTTGTTCTCATTAGAGTCTGATAAATAATCACGACAAAGCAGAAGCCTAGTACTCTCAAGGTACATTTTAGAGACACTGCAAAAGAGACAGTTGCCAAAAAGTCACACTTCCTGATGGTGATTTACACGACCTTTCTCCCAGTTCCAGACCTTGACAAGCTTGAGAGTGGGCCTGTGCAAACCTCATGAAGTTTAACAAGACCAAGTGCAAGGTCCTGCACATGGGTCGGGGCAATCCCAAGCACAAGTACAGGCTGGGCGGAGAATGGATTGAGAGCAGCCCTGAGGAGAAGGACTTGGGAGTGCTGGTGGATGAGAAGCTCAACATGAGCTGGCAATGTGCGCTGGCAGCCCAGAAAGCCAACCGTGTCCTAGGCTGCATCCAAAGAAGTGTGGCCAGCAGGTTGAGGGAGGTGATTCTGCCCCTCTCCTCTGCTCTCATGAGACCCTACCTGGAACATTGCCTTCAGCTCTTGAGTCCCCAGCATAACAAGGACATGGAGCTGTTGGAGTGGGTCCAGAGGAGGGCCACAAAGATGATCCGAGGGCTGGAGCACCTCTCCTATGAAGACAGGCTGAGACAGTTGGGATTGTTCAGCCTGGAGAAGGGAAGGCTCCGGGAAGACCTTCTAGCAGCCTTCCAGTACTTAAAGGGGGCCTACAAGAAAGCTGGAGAGGGACTTTCCACAAGGGCGTGTAGTGATAGGGCAAGGGGCAATGGCTTTAAACTGAAAGGGGAGATTTTTATTAGATCCGAGGAAGAAATTCTTCGCTCTGAGGGTGGTGAGGCACTGGAAGAGGTTGCCCAGAGAAGTTGTGGATGGCCCATCCCTGGACATGTTCAAGGCCAGGTTGGATGAGGCTTTGAGCAACCTGATCTAGGGGAAGGTGTCCCTACCCATGGCAGGGATGTTGGAACTAGATGATCTCTAAGGTCCCTTCCAATCCAAACTATTCTATGATTCTACGATTCTTTCTGAAAGGCTCCCTCATTCCATAGCTTAATTCAGGTTTCAAACAATTTTTATAATCTTGGAAAGGAACTGTTTTAGCAGTTAAGATCAAAATGATGCAACTCTCCCACAAAGAGAGGCTGCTAAGATCTGCTAACCTTCTTTTATTTATTATAGTAGTAATACCCACAAAGGTTAATCACACACAAGACTTAACTGCTGTGAGCTATAGAAACACACTGGAGAATAAGACCTAAACCAATGAGCCTACAGAACAGGTCTGAGATTCCTGGCTCTCAAGGAATAACCTCTGATACTATTTTCAACTGCTGAAAACAATTCAAAGACTGGAGAGCAAAGTACTATAACATGAATCATACATGACTTGACAAGCGCTGCTGCCCTTGACTCACAATGGCTGGGACCTTCTGGCTTACTCTTCAGTAGCCAGATCCCTAGGATGCAGTGTTGTGGTTTGTTGGTTTTTTTTAAATACAAACATAGAACAGCTATTTCGCACCAAATAATATGAAAACTGGGCTTTGCTTTCCTGACGACATCTATTTCTATTTCCCAGTGTTATTCCCTGTTGAAGAGTCTGATATGAGACAGGAATAGAACATCTGAGCATTTTATTTGGGACTATTAAACTCATCTAGAAATTGCTTTTAAAAAAAAAAGTCACCCATACAGACATGAAAAATTATATACAAAATAAAAATGGTAAACCCAAAAAAGCTTGATAACAACTTGCAATCGCATTCACTGCTGCAAACTCAGAAACAAATCCTACACACCACAGCTACAATCCATCTGAAACTAATTTTATGCCAGAAGATTAATACATGTGAGAGAAAACAAGTTTTGCCATGCTGTTCTGGGACAAATTAAGGCCTGGGTCTACCCAGCAGAGCCACTTAATGGTAGGCAGTTGTATCCAACAACACTAAACATCATTCCCAGAGGGCAAATCCTGAACACAACAGAAAAGGGATTAAAAATGGCAAGTACTTACCTCTGGCTCATCCTGCCAATCAATATTGAGCTCCCCATCAAATCCTTTGAGGGTTAGCCCAAAGCCTCTCCTTCCCTTCTGATTGGAGGCCTCAACAATATCCTTCCTGCCTTGGCCATATTTTCCCAGACCTTCTCCTTCCCGGAAGCCCATCTTGGCCTATAAAGAAAGCAAAGGGAGCAGACTGAGGCAAGTGGACTTAAGTTTATGTACTACTACTGGGGTCAAAGACTAGCAGGGAAAACGACCCATCACCCTGAAGTGACTTGAAGGCATCAAGCATTTTTAATCTCAGTTGTGGCTTTCAGGACTTCATACTGAGTTCACTTCACTGAGGCAGGACACAAAAAAAAACAACGGATCTGAAGAATGATGTTTGAGATGACAGTGAACAAAAGGTTCAGTAATGCAGGAACAGCCTGCTGAAAGGGAGAAGTAGCGAGGAGCCCGGAGCCATTCATCACAGTGTTCAGTAAGCGTGGAAGGTTCATAAAACAAAAGATGCTGGCACAGGAAAAAATTCATGTTGCAACAATATTCTTTGTTGTGAACATGCACTCACATACATTTCGAGCATCAGTTAAAACCTCACCTAAAGCTCAGAGGAGGCAAGACACACTGTTCCTGAAACACGTTCCCATCTCTTAGGTTAAAAGAAATATGTTCATTAACTGCTACTTTTTTCAGGCTTTTCTCTTCATAAATTTTAGCAACAAGAGAACAACAACAAAAAGTATGAATGCAGTCAATTTCACTCCCTCCAGTATGCGTCTACAAGATAATAAGTAAATAAAAGACTTAAGAATTCAGCTTCATTTTGAATGAACCTTATCCATATATTCCTGCCTGTGAGAGGCAACAAAAACATTGTTTCTTACCAATCTGCATGACCCACAACAGACGAACATCTGACAGGTTTTATACAAAGGTGCACGTTGGTTTTCCATTGCCTTTGCTACCTGGCTCTGAATCAGACCTTGAAATACGTACACCAACTTGGACAGCCACCGAGCCTCCTATACACCGCTTTTCTGAGTACAGAATTTTGAACACCTAGTAATCAAGGACTATTTTCCTTTTATTTACCTAATGCTAACAAATCATTCAACCAGATTTCACATCAATCTTTATATTCAAATTTATGAGGCCTTACAAACAAAAGCCTCCCCCATACAGCTGTAAAAGCTCCTATATTGTGACAACTGAAAACACACATCTAACTGGCTCAGGAGAGAACTCTCCAAGTGAAAGACAGTCTTGTGCTACAATCAGCAAACTGCAGCCCGGTACCAAAAATGCACGTGGACAGATTCTGAATGATCAGCAGCAGGATTTATCTACAAAAGCACAATCAGCAACTATCAGCCTCTGGATCCCATTGAGTTTTGAATTCGGCAAGAGCTGAAAGTTCTTTTTTCATGTAAAGGTATGATCCTGCTGGTCAGCAGCATTCCTCCTCCCTGAGAGGCAGTATCTCCACTGTTCCCACTCCTAGTAGCAGCTAGAACTTCCCAGCTTCTAGCAGAAGACTGAACTTCTAACTTGGCAAAGGCAGATATAAGCTGGCCTACCACCATGGAAAGATTGCTGATCCCTGCTCCTGCAAGTACAGCACCAGCAGAGGACAAAACGAGACACGTGTTTGGTCCCTCATTGAATCTTAAAACTTCCTGTCACATTTTGAGTAAGGCCCAACTACACATCTCATCATCTGTGCTGTCCTGGGCAACAACATTGTCGTTTCTCTGTTATCAAGACTGGAAATTGTTCAGGATTATGAGATACTCACAATAACGCAGCCATGAAGTTTGTTGCTACACTTACTTCCTGATGTATGCACCAAAAGAGACTCCTCTTCTCTACAGCCTACTATTGCTTTTAAAGTCAGGAACAAGTTGCTGAATTTGAGACTACCATGAGACTGAGACAGTCAACCATTTTCTTAGAACTTCCTAAAAGTACTTTCTGCCCTACACTAACACTGTGCAATCAAGGGGTTGGCAATCAACTTCAAAGTTTAGTTGTCACGGTTGCTGGTGTTCACAACTCCCTGCCTTTCCCAGAAATTTCTGGCCCTACATAAAGCGGAGCAACACTGCTTGAAAGAAAAATAAATACTTTAATAATTAAGGTAATAATTCTTCAAGGGTATGCCAGCCAGGCTCCAAGACCAAACAAATTAATGTCACTCATAGAATATGTTAAGGCCTTACTTACAAGGCATTTAACTCAAGCATTGCAAAAAAACATACGGTAGGACTCTCTTTTCAAGCTCAGCAAGATGCCTGACCCAGAGATCCTTCCCCTCACATTCACCTCCCTGCTCCTAGGCCTTGAATGTGAATCAACTTTCTTTAACAGATTCCCTTCAACCAAGCTTTCTCAGCTTCCCCCAGTTACTCAGTAATTGGCTCAAAGAAGCAGGAAACCCTGCTACAAGGAGGATCAGAATTAGAACCAAAATCTCTTAAAACACACTGGTCTTTCCACTTTGCACTCATCAGGTCTTAATAGTTTGGTCCAAAACTATTTTGACCTACCATGAGTTTTTGGGAGACACTGTTATACATTGAGTAACGAGATGAAGTACCCTCCACAAGAGAGTCTTGTTTGAATTCATCGTTGAAGACTGGTCTTTTTTCATCAGAAGTACCCTCCACAAGAGAGTCTTGTTTGAACTCATCTTTGAAGACTGGTCTTTTTTCATCGCTCTCGCTGTCAGACCCACTGCTGCTACTGGAAGACTCTGAAAACAACAAATAAGTGAGAAAAGTGAGTATGAAAATAAAATGGAAGAAAGACACCTCAGACATCACATTAAGAACTACATAGTGTGACTCATTAAATCCTCTTAACATATATAGAGAGAGGACACTTCAGTATCTCAAATAGGCCACAGAAAGCACGCAGGTGTAATATAAAATAACCCATGGAACTAACACCTGGTTATCTGCCCCTTTCTCTCAGGATGTACACAACCTCTCTGAGCCAATGGATCCCAGGCCAGGCAAAGGAAGGGCCAGGCAAACCCCATTACAGCAGCAGAGGAGGCCACAGCTTGACCACAATAGTACACTGTGGTGTGCCTGACCTTTGCAATGATCCTGAGGTGCTGAGAAAGTCCACAGAGATTCTCTCCCAAGAATAATGACAACTACTGACACTTTAATAAAACGTGGATTTTCCTCAGTTTCCTGCCGAACTACAGGTGTAAACACAACCTTATCCTAACCAACATCAAGCACACAAGCATCCACCAAATGGCCAACACTGCAGAAAGAAGAGAGAGTTGAATCCCTTAGCACCCATAGTAAACTCTAGTTTGACTCCACTACCCACCTCAGTAGTGAGGATTCACAAGCTCACTACAGCAAACGAGACAGTTTTTCACCTCTAGAGTTTACTGGCGCATACAAACCCAAGTGAAAGACAACATCAGAAGACAGCAATCTAGTTTAAAAACACCCTGACAGAGATGAAAGTTTGAGGAAGAAGTTAATCAAGTCAACAGTCCAATCAAGATAATAAGTACCACCACACACAGCAGGCACTCAAAATAAACTTTTTTCACAGAAACTGATGCAGCAGAGCCTTCATGGGCACCAAACAACGAAGCTCTGTCTATGCACAGTTCCACCCTGAGATCTACTTAGGAAGAACCTAGACCTGTATGAGCTGTGTAGTCCTCACTGCTGCTGTACAGCTGTGAGATGTCCAAACCTATTTGCTTTACTTCAACGATGTAACTGGGACCTGGGCAGCAATCGTGGTCATCATATCATTTGTTTCACGGCCTGCTCCGCACCAGGTGGGTAGCGAGGGATGCCCTACAACCCACCCAGTCCTTCCTCTTCTCCTGTGGTAATATCACAACGAGGATGAAGAAATGGCATAAACTTCCTTCCCGAAATTTGCCTAGCACTACATCACTCATGCTAAAGTTAATGCTGTGGGGTGGGCCACAAAGACTACCGGAGCAGCAATCCACAGCAAGCACAGCCACGCTCTTCATCCCACCGCTGCCTCTCGAGCCTCCCTTGTTTGCCAAAGGCTAGAAATCGTTCTGTGCTACTTTGTACAACTAGGAAAAGTTGAACTACATAAGTTGCCCTGAGATAATGCAGAAAATTGTTGTTAGCAGAGTTAATCTTTTTCTGTTTATCACTCAAAAAGGAATTATTTAGCTCCACAGAAGTGTTAAAAAGTTATAATTACCTAGAAAGAAGGACTGAACTTCCCTTAAGTTTTTCTGATATAAGAAAAGAACTCAGATTATTTCTCTTGCAACTCACAAATCTCTGTATTTTCCTGTTATAGAAAATTGAGAATCAGTGAACAGGAAACAACAGGAAAATTAATAAAGAACGGCCATTACAAGAAAGTGAAGTGAAAATTAAAGACACTATAGTGAAACATACAACTGCAGTTAAAACCCTTTCAACATGTGCTCAATCTTTGTTGTTGAACTATCAGCGTTTAATATTCAGGACTTATGTCCCACATAACTACTAGGCTAGAATTTTACAGCATCAACCTGCGAGGCTTCCAGCTCGAGTGAAGGAAGGCTATGATTTAACTTGTGGTTGCAATACTATATATCCTCTTGGCTTTCAAACATCTGTCACACAAGCCACATTTCTCTTTCCTTCACAAAGTTCTTGGGTATGAACAGGATCACAAAGGATTTTGCTTTAGGGACAGTTACTGCTTTCTGCTTCTCCAATACACAGCTTCAACTAACTTTGCTGCCTGCTTTTGAGCTGTGTCTTACTTTCAGAGTCTCATGATGTGCCTCAAACACAACACCCACTACATAAACTTCAAAAAAAAATCCCTTCACAACTCTTCTTGCTTTCAAAGTTTGCTAGGCTGTGCTCAGCTGAAATCAGATCTCAAATCACTCCTCTCCCTAACCTTCTTTCTTCCATCAGAAACCACAACAGGTGTAACAGACTACTAAACAATTAACCCTATCCAAAAATGTTGTCCTTTAATTTTATCAACCTGATCCTTAAACAACAAGACTCACAGCCTATTTTCACCCATATGTGAACTCAACAATCAAAAGGGGGGGCATTAAAAATATTTGGTTTAATTTTTTACCTCAGCTCTGAGTGCACCACAGCATTCCCTACCCCAGCTCTCACGCCCTGCACCTCTCACCTCCTCACTCACCTCCAGCCTTGCCAGACAGGTACACACACACCACACCCTAACACTACCACTACTCCTAAACTCACCCGCTCAGCTTCCATACACATCCTCTTCCACTTCCACATGATGGTTTCTTTATGTCTTCAGGCCCTTTCTCACTAACACTTTATGACCACGGGAAATCCCAAGACTCAGAAGTAGCAGGCATGAGAGTGAGGCAACCTGAAGTACCATCCTGGGAGAGTTTAAAGCACCTCACAACAGGGACACCCAATTGTGCAGGGCACTCGTCTCATCTTTGGTACACCCAAGCTCCAGGTGAGAAAGCACATTCCAACTTGCAAAAAAGTAGGAAAATAATTTAGTTCACTCTGAAACCGTTTTTCTTTCTGAAACCAAACACCTGTGAGCTCTCACAATTCCCTCCTCCCCCCAAAAGCCACACTGAGCCAGCAAAAGAGATGATGCTACAATGCAGGAGTCCAAACCAACCCACTTTTTGTATTCACTTCAATTTTTCCCATCTACAAAATACATGATAATACTACTGATTTTATTTTTTTAAAAAACAACAAGGGATTATGATGGGGTTTTTTCACTGCATATTACACACAACTCCTCACTACTGAAAGTTTTTAGAACAGAAACAACTGCTGAGACTAAAAAGACTAATGCTGCTCATATATTAGGAGAATCTTTACAGCTCTGGACCATGCACTTCTCATCTACCTCAGATCTTATTTTCTATGTCTGAAATCATACAATTCCCAGACCAAATTGCTTACATAAGGTTTTTTAAAAAGCTTTAAAAAATTCATACCCATCCAAGTTTTTGAACAGAAATAATGCAGTTTTCCTCCTAAAGAGAGAGTATGCCCTTGAAGCTCAGGCTATCAGTTAGGATTTAGGAGACATGGATTCAATTCCTAGTTATTATTTAGATTCCCTGCAGCAGCATACACCATATCTCCAACCGTACCTTGAGTAGTATGATTACTAAATTGAGTTTCATCATCTGAAGTAGAACTGAGGGTTAATCCCAAGTCTTCTATCCTCTTCTTCTGCTTCTTTTGGGGGCTGCTAAATTCCGGTTCTGTCCTTCTCTTCATTTTTGCTGAAAGAAGATGATCACACTTGGCAAACATTAAGCCAATTAACTTTCTCCGGCATGCTGAAGCATAAGGCACACAACTCATACCAGCAGCATGGCAACACAGATAATACCAAATAGCTCATAAAATTATGATTCTCAACTTAAGTTCGCTCTAGGTAAAAGCATTGGCTTCTTTTGAACCTACCTTTTTTAATAGCTAGTCTAACTAAACAAACACGAAATCTATCCAGAAGCTTTGTTATTATTGATTTTATGAATTTCAAATCATTTCTACAACCTACTTAACCTTAAATGCTAGTAGACGAGGACAATCCAGACATCAGCACTTAGATAACTTAAGTATATGACAGTTGATTACTACTACTGAATCAAAGATTCATTTTATTCAAACACATCCAAAAACTAAGGAAATAAGATCAACCTAATGTAGAATATACAAGGTGAAACCAATTCCTCACAAGAGACTCGGAGCACCTCTGACCTCACCTCTGCAAACATTAATTAATAAAAGAGCTTTACTACATGACTTCTATAGCAGAACTTTATTAAACGTGTGTGCTCAAGCTGCGGGGTGTTTGTGTTTTTCACCAGGAATCACTGGCAAGATATCAAGCTTCTGGATGTGGCTGATAAACTTTGCATAAGCCCAGAGAAAGTGCTAAAACTTTAGACAGAGTTTATACAAGCTCGCTAGGAAATCCTGCAAAGGACAAGAACCAAGGAAGAGGAAGGCAGGTGAAAATTAAAAGGCACAGGTGCCTAGAGCACCAGCTAAACCTCCCTCCTACTAATGAAAAGCAATAAAAAATACTGGTGTTTATTATTTTACATAGTAATGCTGGGCTAGAAAAGACGACCCAGGTCACTCATTTTAACCTTCTGTCCTCAAACTTATTTCCACGAACACATGCAGGGCAGCTCAAGATCAATTCCTTTATCCATCCCCACTACTCCGACTGCAAAAATCATCCCACAACCTCACTGCGCTATGGCTAAGACATCTTTTTCCCTTCCACCAGAGGTTCCTTTACAGCCAACTCATTTATCTGCTCGTGTATCAATTTAGGTTTAAGGGGTTTTTTGGTGGTGGGTTTTTTTTTTCCCTTTCTTGCTTATCTCTATCAATTTGAGAGCAATTGTCTCTGGTGAGACGCTCTCTTACGAGGCTAACACACTGTCAGCTCACCGCTGCCAGCTCCCTCTTAAGATCTCCACCCTCCTAACGGTCCCTTGGCGCACCTCCTTTCCTGCGAGACGTCAAATTACGCCAAATTAGCTGCGAATTAAGCGGCACCGCGCCCCTCGGGAGCCGGGCGGCGGTGAGGGAAAGCCCCTCCGGAGCACAACCCCGCCACCCCCAGGGAACCTGCGGCTGCG